TAAAGTTGTTATTTGTGGAAGCTCGTCAAAAACTTCCAAACGAGAAACCAAAGAGAACCCCAGGAATTTTTCTAGAGGCTGAGTCTCCTTTTAAACTTCTTCTGAAAAAAAAAAATCGGGGAGCATATGAGTACAATTACTATACAGTTAAAAGATAATTCGTACAGGAGGTCTCAGTTTGGAAATTGGTCTGGTCTTGTCATCTATTGTACTAGTGTAGTTTAAATTGTTTATACAGGCCCCCATTTAAACCAGCTTTACTGGTTACTTACCAGCTCGATTAGCTGCACTGGGGCAGCCTTTTTCAATGTTGCAAATAATTAGATGAATAAACTGATAAATATATTCAATTATTAATCTTCAATGCACCTATTGTGAATGATTTGTACCAAGGTCTGGTGCCTAATGTTTCCGTTTTAGCCATTTCAGGTGTGCTCGTGATCATATTGGGCGAATGCCTTAAGGGATTATTTCAAAAGGCATGGCTGAAACTGGGTGTTTAGTTTTAATTTAGATATCAACCTACTGTTATCACCAAGTTCATAAACAAGATGAATTTCATGCCTAAAAGCTTGAAACTGTCCTTATTTGTAAACGTGAGCCTCGAAATTTAAAGTAAGGGTAATGGCTGTTTGCTCCATGAGAAGACATCATAATTTCTTATGTTGGAGCGTTCTAAGAGGCTGAAAATCTAACTGTTAACTGTTCAATTTCATACGATCATTCTAAGAAAGCCTTAGAAATTATATCGGTCACCCTTCGAGTGAACAACTAAGAGCTTGCTCTGATATCCTTTCCGATACGTTGAGAGGAAGGCCACCTCAGTCAAAACAGGCGAGTTTTACGGCGGTGTCGTCCCAAGTAATCTTCATGAATCAAATCAGGAATACAAATCTCAAATAGGTATGAAAGAGTGTTTCTATGGCACCTCATTATATAAAAAATGATAAAAATTTGTTAAGCAATAATTGGGCTATCTTAGATACTCTTCGCGAAAACAAACGAAAAATTAAGGTAGTGGCGAACAGTCATAGGATAGGTCTTCAAAAATAACGAAACCTCTTACCAACATGGATACCCCATCTTCCGATAAGTTTACCCTTACGGACTGAAATTGGTAACATGCCTACATTTTCCTGAGGCAAAACATGCATTACAAAGCTAGAGCTCGTATTCGTTCGTGGGTAGCTTATCATAAAACCAGCTGGCTTAACTGTTACGATTTATTTAGCAAGTACACTTTTATTGAACTAGTGGTTGTGATACCCCAACATTTATGACTAAATAGAAATATCGAATGCAATACAGGATGATAAAAGACACGACTCCGACTCTCACTGTTATACTTTGTTCTGTATTACTCTTATACTCTTATACTTTGTTCTCTTCTTCTCTTACACTTTGTTCTTCAGATCAAAGTAAAAGGCCAGGTTACATCGCTACCAACATCGATCTGGGAAGTAATATATTTGCAAAGTATGATGTATGTTAAAAGTTGAAATTAAATAGAAATGCCTTCACTTTTATTTGGAATTTTCGGTGTTTTACATGGTTAAAATAGGTAATGGTTTAATCTATAAATTCTTTTCAATAAATGTAATTCCACTTTACTCGAAGTTAACCGTTCAATGGTAGAACGGTATTTGTATGCATGGTCACGTTTGGCGATATATTCAGCAAATATTGACTTACAAAAAGCTGTAAAAAGCTTAATCTTTTTAAAAGGTTTTTTCACTTTAATGGACACGTTTTTTTGGCTGAAATTGTTCAAAATTTAACCTATATGCTAATTTGTGATGGATTTTAATGTTACTGTGCCTTTATTTCCTCCATTGCTGAGTCTTTATGGTCTCTGCATGCATGTTCACGTCTGATAGCATTGCGATTGATTTGGATCAGTAAGCTTTTTTTTTTATCCTATGTCGTTTTTGACTTGATTGAGCTCTCGCCACACATCTCCGAAAATGAATTTCAAAATTTCAAAATTTCAAAATTTCAATTTTCGAAAAAATATTAAATTAACCTTTCTCTGTATATCAATCTTATTTTTCAAAATTAACATATATTGTTATATTTAATAGATTTTCTGATAAATTTCTATGCTGTTTTATCAATGGATATTGTAGCAATATCTATTAGAGAGAATAGCTCTTGGTGCGATTCACACTTTTGGGAGGTATCAAGAGTATAAAGCTTCCTTCTTTTTTCTCACTTCGCAACAATAAGATCTAATGTTTCCAAACAATTTTGGCACATTTTCCATTAAGCACCACGGCAACCTCAGATCGCCGATGGCTTTGCGATTATGGTTACATTTATAAACAACATAACACAATTTCCTCTTTGAAACTTGGCCAATGAGGTAGTTTTTCGCGAAGATCTATAGCACAATTAGATTGGTATAAATTACAGACCATCCATATGACACTTAAAAACAAAAGTTATAACATCCATACGCTGCATAGGTAACTTTCCCAGAAAGGTAAGAAAAGTTTTCAAATACCCTTTTCTTTAAAGCTTCAATTTTCTTTTATATTTCTGCTCTAAATTTTCCTGTCTTTTGATTTTGTAACCACAATACTATTGAATTAGCATAAACATTGAAAAAGTAATTTTCAAACGAATAACTTATGGAGAATGCGTCGGAAAGATATTTTTATGGTGATGTCCTCCGAAGAAAACATGCAATGGTGGAATATAGGATTTTGCTATGGCTGTTCTACGACTTACAACCCGCAAAAAAAATTGGAAGACATTTCGTTCTCGGCCACAAAACGCAAAATTATTGCTTGCTCATAAATCGCTTCTTAAATCCCTTTTTCCCCTGAGGCTCGACGCAAAGATTTATAGTCTCACAAATTCGACGCAGGTTTTATAATTTCGTCCACATTCTGGAAAACGTTCCGTCAGCCCCATTATATGGATTATGGGATATTTTACTTCTCCTTTCTTGTGGGTCCAGCCGGTACTTGATGGAAATTTGAGTAAAAGGCTATAAGCCATGATAAACGCTGTGAGCATGGATTATTTACGCCCATTACTCCCGTAGGTGCTTGTGCCAGCGTTACTTAACGATGCCAAGTTTTTTCCGTAGCATCGATAATGAAAATCTGGGAAACAATGAGCTTATTTTAGCGCTAGCATCATTGGGCTGCATGCATGTTCCCTGTTTCGTAGTTAGAATTTCATGTTTTTGAATCTGTTAAGTCAAAATCGTAGAAAGCCACAAAATATGGCTAATTTTTCCAAGATTTCAGACAGTGTTAGGATTTCCAACTGTCGCTAAAATTGCGAACACCTTGTACACTTTTTGTCTGCTTGATGAGCGGATTGGAAAACTAAAGGTTAACAAAACATTGAATGGCACCGAACGACAGTTGTGATCATGTACTTCTGTTAAATGACTAAATTGTGAGCATCAAGGTTAGAAGGCAAGGAGGTAGCTAAGAATTGTAAAAAATAATTATAGAAAATGGCAATTTTTTTCCAATTGATACTCAAATTTATTCTGTGGCTCAATTTACTCTTACAAAAGTAATTTCTGGTTCTCGATCGGCCGAGGTAGTAGTTAATGAAGTATGTTTCAAAATTCAAAATGTTGGTGAAGGGGTGTTCAGAATTTGAATAAAAATGTTGCAGTAATGTTTGTTTTAATGTCATTTTGTCAGCTTGGATTGATCGAGTATGGAAACCTCAGCTATGGTTCATTGGAAGACAAATAATCAAGGTAAAAAATGCAAATAGATAGGGAGGAGCATTACCTATTGTAGACCACTGTGTATGAGGAAGCACAGCTAGGATGGGTTTTTTTAAAAGAAGACTCAGGTGCAGAGGGTTTGGGTGTAAATTTTCCCCCTAGTTTTAGAGCTCTGACGAAATATTTTTATCATAGTTATAGTTTGGTTTCTTTACTTTTTCCTCTTACCAAGATTCAAATTTCAGAGCGTTACTCTTGTATGGAGTTTATACAGGTGTAACTTTTAATTCTTGATTAGTTCTGGAATTTACCTTAACCCTTTAACTCCTATAAGTGACCAAGACAGAATTTCTCCCTACAATATCAATACAATATAAAGCAGACAAGTGATGAGAATAAAGAAAAATATTAGTTAGAAGATTATTAGTTGATCCAATACCAAATTCTCAAAACTAAAATCACAAGAACTGTATGGCAGACAGTAAGGAGAATTACGAATGAGATCTTGAGAGTTAAAGGGTTAAGTGGGTATAGGAGAGGAGGAGAAGGGGGGTGAAGGCAACAGCAGCTGCATGTTACATTGTGTCACAGAAAAGTCAAGACATTTCATTATCAGGATTTCAAATGACACTTTTCACGAAATGCAAAATTTGAGTTATTCTTCACTTGTTGGAATTTCCATATTAAGAATCTTTTGCGTTGGTCTTTGGTAAAACGTCTGCGATTCGTTTGCAACCGTAGCTTGCATCGTTTTAGTGTGCCAAACCTCCTTACTGGGATTATGACAAATGGCACATTTCACATCTGCTGTTTATTTTTTCACAATTTAATAGCGTGGGAGTTGAGATTTTTTTTTATGCTAACACTTTATTTTGTCTCAGCACTGAAAGATGGTCGCCGATCTTACGAGTGAGACGTTCTGAGTACCGTCTGTTTTGCATTAGATTTCCTCCAAAAGTCCTTTCAGTGCGACTTGGTTGATCAAATACTGAAGGCTTGCCAATTCTCAACGTTTCTTTTTATCGTTCTACGATTGTTCTTTTTGTATTATAATATCAAGCCATAATGGTGAGATACTTTTCCCTTTCTTTCAATAGGAAACACTACAAGCCCTCCGCTTTCAACTAGCCAATCAGTGGTGCTCGCCAGTTTGGCATCAGTCTATTTCATAATCGTATTTGCTTCCATATTTGGCAACTCCGTGATCATCCACATCATCCGTACAGGTCACTCTTTGAAAACCACCACCAATTACCTTATCCTCAATCAAGCATGCGCAGACTTGATCATTACGTTCACTGTAATGTTAAGCATGCTAGGTGATAACCTATTTCAAAGAAGGTGGTTCGGCGGAGACTGGGGATTACCTATGTGCAGGCTACTGGTGTGGTTTCATTTTCCAGCGGAGTACTGTTCGATCTGGAGCCTTGTTGCCATAGCCGTTGACCGCTATTATGCAGTGGCTCGCCCTTTGCAGTTTTCCCCTTTATCTCACCATACAAGGCTGGTAGTTTCCTTGATTTGGGTGTGGTCTCTGTCTTCAGCAGCTGGAACGATTTCTATGGCCAAACTTATCTTCGTGGAGGGAACTGGCCACTTTTGTGTCGTGGATTATTCTCATGTTGAGCTGTCCGCAGCGAACGTTGTAAGCATCTGCGTGTTGCTGTTTAACTTTGTCTTTCCTCTTTTGGCCATGGCGGTACTCTATTCAATCGTGTGTTCTCGTTTGTTGTCTCGAGAAGTGCCTGGCGATGAAGCTGGTCACAGTGCAAGGCACGCAGAAGCCATGAAGACAGCAAAGAAAGTTAACCGAATGATGATCATCGTTGTTGTTTCATTTACTCTATGTTGGTTTCCTTTTTTCATATTTGTTGGTTTGGACAGTTTGCATAAGATTGAAATTCCATATGCAGCGCTCAAATTTGTGGTGTGGTTGGCAAACGCTTATAGTGCAATTAATCCTTACATCTACTTGTCATTAAGCGATAAATTTCGAAAGGAATTTATGATTATTCTGAACAAATGTCGGAGCAGTTTTAGCTGTGGGTAAGAATCTTTTATCCTGCTAGCTACTGTCCTGCACCAATAAAATGGCATGGCTGGTATCGTCACTTTTTGCTTCTTTCTTATCTATGACTTTGGGTTTGTGCTTGGAAGCGTACAAATCAAAGAAATTGAAAACTTTTGACTCATGTATAGCGAATGTACTACTTAAGGTACCTTATATCACCACAGAGGCGTAGATCGAGTTTCTATCTCAGTGCAACAATTTCTTTAGCTGTTTTCATAACGATAACGATTATTATGATAAAAACAGTAATGATAATTTTGATAATGATAATAATAATAGCAATAATAAAAATGGGAATATGAAAGCGATCTTCGCAGTGGTGAACACTACTTGAGCAGTAGTGAAAAGAAGGCCTGAAATGAAAATTCAGGCCTGTACGGGATTTAAACCCATGACCTCTGCAATACCGGTACAGCGCTCTACTAACTGAGCCAACCAATCAACTAGGAGCTGGTCATTATGTTAGTTCCAATAAACCTGTGAAGTGATGAATAAACAACTGTGAATATATGATGACATGATGAAAATAATGATAGTTAAAATTATGATAGTTAAAATTATGATATTCTTTATTTAATCTCAGTGATGACGCATAGATAACAAACTTATAGTTTGATCTAGCCAAATATGCAATTTCAATACCACTGTAATATTTTGTAAATAAAAAAATTCAAGGTTTAGTTTTAAGATATATTTAAAGAGCATCAACCCTTATGCCTTCCTATTCCGCTATCCCCAAATTTATGTCAGAGAACGTACACTGTGGGTGTTGGATTACAAATATGCTACGAAAAGCTAATATATGAACAGAAGTACTAACACTAATTTTAAATACACCTTATTTCGTTTGTTTAACATATAATACACGCAGATATATTGCGAATTCCGTTAAAATTTTTTTTCCGAGCCCTGTAGGAACATGGAAAATGCGAGCAATAGATAAAATATCCACTCACATGGTGTGTAGATTATAATAGCTACAATTTAACTGACAACCGACTTTTTTATGGTGGATAAGGAAACCACAAAAGTTTAGCGATACATTTTCTTTCCCTATCACCATGAAGAAATCGAGCGTTTGCTTCGATCTGTTACACACTGGCTCTGTCCACCCAGAATCACGATGAGTACCGACGAACTAACGTATCGCGAATTATTGATTTTCTATGAAATTAAAACATCCATCTTTTGACAAAAGGTTTTTTCAAGAGTCTGCTAGTGTCATGTAACTATTGAACGAAAAAAATTACTGTTACGTCAAACACTTCAGCCGTCAGACGATCTCATGGTTGCGTCGCGTAGCAAGTGTAGCTATGGTAATTATCACTTATTGAAGAAATAATACTTCCATTCGCTATGCTGGCCAATGAATATGTTCTGCAACTTTTACATATAGATAAAACCATGGTTTGAGTAGCAAGGCAAAGCAGATACTCATTGATATGTCACGACAGGTGTAACTACAGATCGCTCTTCTCCAGCTGGTAAGAACGAAATGTTTTCAAAAAGATTTTACTGCCGGACTGGGTGTTTCTGCTTTTTCAATTTCGACTGTATCTTGATTTATAACTAGATCTCACGTTTTTGAAATCTGTTTATGATACTGTTTAATAAGTCATTCACTCATGGATAAAAATGAAGCGAGTTTTACTCGATAATGGTAACCATCTTGGTGAAGTCTGAACTCTGTTTAAGTCCGATTGCCAAAATAGAAAAAGAGGAAAAAAAACAGTCAGAATTCATGTAGGATGTAATAGAAGACAACGCGCTTCAACTGGATCTAACAAGTATTGCTTGATTGAAATTCATTAATTAAAAACATGTTTATCTGACTTTGGACTTTTTGTTGTAAGGTATCATGCTCAGTTATCTTTAAGATAAAAACATTCCACCTCTGTTTTGTTACACCCACGAAGAATTAGTTTTTTTGAGATTGAACTGAAACGTTATATTCCTCTCTGCCTGAGGGGTAGGCGTCCACTAATAGCATTTTTGGCAAATTTCTAACAAAAACCCTAATTAGTAAATACTTAGAGCATGGCGTTTTCGGGAATTGCCATATAGATATAAAGTTACAAGTCCAGTACATTTCCTGTGGTTGCTTATTATGCATGCCATTTCCCACGATGTCAATAACGAACATGTGGTAAACACTGTACAATAGACTTTGTCATAGTTGTGTGTTCTTCGTCGATCTGTGGTCTACTACCTGTCACTATCGCGTTCTTCTGCCTCAGAGACATCTCTTTTTATGAGTGAAATGTACATTTTTTTCAGCTGGACTTTCAATTTTCTTATAGTCAGAAAATTCGATGCAATGAATATCAGCGACTAATTAGAGCTCCAAAGAATCTGTTACTGAGGCTATAAAACACACAAATTAAAACGATATCCCCACGAAGCCTTACGCACACTGCAAGCTTGTAGAAATAGCTTTATTCCGCAAGTGGATCCTAATTTACAACGTTGAATTTAGAAACTCGGCAACAATATAAGAGTCAACAAAACAAATGGCCCGCATCTGCCAAACAACGTATTTAACGCCTCTTCAGATGCAATCGTTTGAAAGCTGACGTCTTTTTATACAAATGCTATCTCTTTTCGAGGAAAGGAAATATGGCTGAAATAAGTGTGTGGTTGAGATAACCATAGGTTAATGGTACGAGATACACTGATACACTGATACACTTAAGCTGAGGTTTTGAAATTTTAAAGCAAGCTGACATACTTGCAATTTTCGTAACTTGTGAGAAATTGCTAGATTATCGATATTCTTAAGCTAGTGCTTCAGAGTGATGTGGCTAAAAACCGAGCGTCTTTTTCAGTTCGCTTATTTGCTGATTAGTTAATCTCTCTGATTGGTTTCGCCTTTGTTTGTTTGGTTCTTGTTTGTCACTGACTTAATTAATTCTCTTGTTCGCATAGGAAACACGACAAGCCCTCCGCTCTCTGCCAACAATTCAGTGATAATGACCAGTTTGACATCAGTCTACTTTGTTACTATATTCGCTTCCATATTTTGCAACTCCATGATCATCCTCATAATCCGTACAAGACACTTCTTAAAATTCGTCACCAACCACCTCATCCTCAGTCAAGCATATGCAGACTTGATCATCACGTTTACCATAATGTTGGGCATGTTGGGGGATGACCTATTCTTCAAGAAATTGTTTGGTGGAGACTGGGGACTACATTTGTGTAGGCCGCTGGCGTGGCTAAATTTCCCAGCGGAATACTGTTCCATTTGGAGCCTCGTTGCCGTTGCCTTTGACCGCTATTTTGCAGGGGCCCGTCCGTTACATTTGTCTCCCGTATTGCTTCATATTACGTTTGTCGTTACTGTGATTTGGTAGTGGTCTATCTTTTCTGTAGCTGGCATGATTTCCATGGCAAAACAAGTTTTCGTGGAAGGAACTGGCTACGTTTTGCGTTATTGACTTTTCCCAGTTGTCCGCAAGCAACATATCAGGCTTCTGTGTTTTGGTGTTCAATTTCTCCGTGCCCGTTTTGGCCATGACGGTTTTGCATTCAATCGTGTGCTCACGTTTTGTTGTCTCGAGAAGCGCCTTGAGATGAAGCTGGTCAGAATGCGAGGCACGCGGAAGCCGTAAAGACAGCAAAAAAAATTACTTTGATGATCATTGTTGTTGTTTTGTTTACTTTGCGTTGGTGTCCTTTCTTTTTCTTTGTCGGTTTGAACAGTGTACATAAGATTGTATTGCAGTAAGCTGCATTTAAGTTTATTGTGTGGTTGGCAAATGCCTACAGTGCAATTAACCCCTTCATTTACCTGACGTTTGATGAGAAGTTTCGAAATGAACTTAAGATTATCATGGAAAAATGCCGTACGAAATTCAGATGTTAAGATAACGTTCTGATATTTTGAGATTTTTTTTTTGAATTTTCATGATTCGTGGAAAGTAAGCCATTTGTTGAATCCTTTTTTCTTTCGTTATTTTGTTATTTATGTATTTAACTCTTTTTCGTTTAGGGGAAGGTCATCCTGTAGTGGGCACCCAAGAAAAACACAGAACACATTTGAAGTTATGTACCTCCAGCAACACAACCTGCATTCGTGAATTCGCTACGGTTTGCTTGCCCCTCGTTGATATATTCTTTTTTAACATCCCCTCTTTGTTTGAAAAAATGCATTCATATTGCAAGGAGAAATTCCTTTCCTTCGGTCCTTAAAGTGAAAACGGTAAGAGAAATTCAACTTACGGAGGTTTTCTTCAAAAGGTGTGGCATTTTGTAAAAATTGATATATTTGACTTTAGCTCCCGAATGCAGAGAGTGTAGCGTTCCAGTCAAAATAGGTTCTCTTAAAAGTCATTAATGTTAGTTTTATTTCCCATCATAATAAACGATTTACCATAACATTTGCTTCTACATGTGTAATGTAAATGTCATATTTCACAATGAATTAACCTCGTCCAAATAGGCGTCAATATGACGTAAATCTACAATTAACAATATTTAATACGTAGTTTTCCAGGTTTTCTAGGGCAATTACATAGCCTTAGAAATATTAGAATCGTTTCTACTGGAATTTGCTTTTTGCTCGCAGCCCCAAATATCTTGGTTAAATTTCAAAGAACAAGTCAAAAGTAGGACGCCAGATCACCGGGAGTAACCCATTTTTATTTCAACGTCCAGCGGTTAGTGTAATAAGTCGATACGTTTTAAGCATCGACTCTTAGTTATTAAACATAAATCTACAAAGTACATATCACACACGGCGTTGCAGAAACCAAAATCCTTGGAAAATAATAGCAGTAGTATATAATAATAATAATGATAATAATAATAATAATAATAATAATAATAATAATAATAATAGAGAACATTACAGTTTGAATTACTTTTATAAGCAGAAATATTAAATTTCGGTTCGTAAAAGAGATTTCTGCAGCAAATGCAGCAATTACTTGACGATTTTTAAGTCAGGAAAATTTTGCAAATTGATTGCATCGTGTTAAAGAGCGTTCACGTCAAGATTTCACTGGTAAATTTTATGCGGGCAGTTGTGTTTTCCAGGATAACCACTGTCTGCAATTCTCTCACTTTCACAGTGAAAACAGACTAAAATTGGACATCAGTTTTATCCCAAGAAGTGTAGCAATAGTTCTCATGACAACTATGCCGTGAGCGTTCACCTTGTCACTGGAACGCCCAGCCCACCATCACCTGTCATAGCGCTGTGGTAGCATCCAAAGTTATTTGTAATTTCCATGGGTCCTACAAAAGCACTACGTCCCTCCAAAAGACGAAAGAATAAATCAAAACTGCACAAATCCATATTGTAACAACTGATTGCTGCAACCGAGACGCACCTGAAAACAAAATAAAGAACATTCATTGCAAGCATACTATTTCCAGGCTTATATAGGAACTTGGAATGAAACCTCATTGACATATTTAAATAAAGGGACTAAATGCTACGGAATTTTGAGGCTTACAGAATTTACTTCAAATTGAAAGAATTGAGCTGGGATGCGCGGCTGGAAAATAAACACTGGAAAATATTACAAAGCCAAACGAGAGAATCGCTCACCATTTCCACTGATTGTTTGGGGAGTGGGTTCATCGTATGCGACAGACGGTCTCGGTTTACGACACTTTATACAGAGCTTTGAGCAGCAAGACGGGTTACATTCTGGTATGTCCAACGGTTCCTCTACATATGTCCCTCGGGTACCATTGCTTATAAACCATTCAGAAAAGGCTTTATATGGTGTCTTCCCTTTAAAAAAATGTGATAAATGACAAAAGACTCAATGAAGAGTAATGATTCCTTCGAGGTTCTGTTTCTTCTAAGTGACATTTAAGCGGTCTCATTCCCAGAGTTCCATGCGGCGCACTGACTACAATTCCCCCCCCCCCCCCGACTTTTGGACTTCGCCGAAAAGGGAGGACTGCCGAAAAGAGAAGCCAAATCGGCCAAACAAGCCTGTCCAGTGACGTTATCATTGTACATGTGCTAGACCCCATATTTTGTTCGTTTGGCTTTTTTTTTTTTTTTTTTTTTTCCGCAAGGTTTGCTGGTGTTTCCTTTTTTTTTTTTTTTTTTTTTGGTTTTTTTTAAGAAACGAATATTATAAAAGCAGAATTCAATTGGCCCAGCCCACTTTGAGCTCGATAATGAAATGGAGAGATATATGTACGTACGCGTACTGACGCTTTCAACATTTAGTTCATTCATGACCCTAGCATTCTAGGGGACACACGTCACTAATGCACCTGGTTATGGTCGAGCTTACACTTCCCTCTCACGGTGGCTCTCTCTACCCAGGAGTATAAATGGGTACCAGCGAATTGTCAAGGAAGCCTAAAGAAATGCCAGGGGAGGGAGAGTTTACTTGCCATGGACTAGTATCCCGTAGGGGTGGGGGAATTGACACGCTAAGGAAACCAGGATAAGCTGGATGGGCCACTTGGCTCGGGTGCAGACTTTCACTACCGTGAAATAGATTACGTTTAGAGAGCAGAAAGTTATTATTTATTTCACTGAAACTTACCATCTATTTCACAAGCCAATGTCTGCTTTGTACTAGTTAAATTATCGCCAGAAAACGAATGCATAAAACAAGCTGGGGAAAAAACGCCATCCTTCTGGCTGTTGATAACCTATAATAGGAGAGAGAATAAATTCAAAGTAAAACTGCAAGTCTCACGGTGATCACCCTTTGTTTTAAATTGCACCAAGACATGTCACACAAGTGGTTGTCAAATCCTGCTGGATAATTTCAAGCGAACATCACTGGTTAGTAAACAATGAAACTTAAAAACTATTATACAAACTGTTGCGTCATTGCAAAAGCATTGCTGCCAATGAAAACTGCCCACCCGTCTAAGAGATCTGTGCGTGTTTTTCCCGAACTTTCCAAGGTACTCTGCTTCGCTTGGTAGCTCCGGTGGAAGTCTCATAGTAGGAAACTTGGAATGAACAAGTTCTTGCAATTGGTAGGAGTCCCACTGAGCCACAAACACGTACACAGGGGCTGATAAATGCTTGAAAACTAAAATGAAGTAAATGAAAAAAACCAAAGAAATTATTCATTTTTGCTTATCCCATCATCTCCGACATCTTACATGTCCACTCACGTGAGTTTTTGACGTTCGCACTTAGGCTCTCTCGATTTTCGTGGCGAGCGCGTTGCTTTTCCCGCGCACGATTCGAACCGGATCACATGAGTGGACATGTTTGTTCTTTGCCCGTTTTACTTTCGCTCTTTGTGGAAAGAAAAATCTGCCAAGCGGGAAGAAATCAAAAGGAAATTCACAGGTAAGCTCTCACATAGAGGGGCCACCCGAATGACAAGATTTAGATTCCACTAAGTCGCTGAGAGTATTCGTTTATTTGTTTTCTTATTTAACAAAAAGGTAAAAAAGATATTTTCTGTGCATGATGTAACAACCTTGTCTGATACAGCTTCGACTCAATTGTTTCAAAACAAGAAGCTTTCTTACCTAATTCTCCATAGAGACAAGCTTCTGCCTTGGGCATATTAGCTCTACAAGTCTCGTCGACAAAGCCATCCCACAAATTGTGAAACATCTACAGAAAAACGCAAATAATGTCACACTGAATTTATATTAACACTGGGGTGCAACGAATGAGAGATAGAAACCAACGGTACCTGACAAAGAAAGGAACAAACTTCTTCCATGTAACATTTATGATTCACATTCTAACCTCAACTCAAAGATCTGAGGAGGAATTCTCCCCTCTAGCTAATATACATTTTCTTGTTAGCAATTTTTTAGAATTTGGTGTTATATAAAATTCTAGCTTTATTTCTTTGATATCTTACTGGATTTTGTATTGGTGCAGCATCAGTCACTTCTGAAGTTTCAATTGGTCAAACATTTTGAAGAAAATTCAGTTAAAGTATAATACTATATACACTGTACATACATAGCTTAAGACTTGAAAGAAAAATGGTGGCCCTGCATTTGCTGTTTCACCAAAGTTAGGATACAGAGTAAACCAGCCACCATCATTATACCCTCTAATCTGAAAAGGAAATGAAACAATAAAAGTTGACAAAACCTTGTTTCAGGACACTGGGTAACCTTTTGTTGCCAAAAGACAAATCCATGGTCTCACCTGGCCTCATTCACTTCTGGGTCCAAGATGGCTTAAGACCATTTAATTTAAAATAATAATTAATTAATAATATTTAATGATGGAACCTAACTCATTAAGGTGGTTTTCAATAGGACCCTATTTTGCAACCAATATTTGGAATCATGTAATTTTATTAAAAAGTTAGATTATAACTGACAAACAACAACACAGGGGAATAGGGTAAAGAATAAAGTTCATGTCTTAAAAATCATAAATACAAAATTAAATATTGGATTAGGCAATCCAATTTCAGTCTGACAATTCCCCAATCTCCAACACACCTTACTTCAAAATGGAGGAAAATAAGTTGTTCTTTATTCTCATGGTTCATTTTGGTTCTCTTAACCTCATTCCAAGCTAAATATATTTTTGCATCCAGAGGATGCGCTTGAGGAATAGAATGCCAGTTATGATAAAAGTATATGAAAATTTTCACCACTTTGCAGTAAGGTCTGTGCCCAATTAACACTTTGAAGGCAGACAGACAAGCCAGAAGTACAACTAAAGCAATGAACTTATCAAAGATTTTCCTTCCATACCTCAGCAGGTTTTACAAGCCCCTCAATGTAGTCAATATTTGCAAACATTCCAAGCCCACCAGAAGAAGCACCACCAAACAAAATCTGTGAAAAACCATCACTTTGTATATCAGTGGTAAGCAAAGTGGTATGTGCTGTATGTTAATCTTAATATGTCAGCATCAACCCTTCAACCTTTAACACTGTAACATTGATATGCCGATAAGAGAATTTGTTTCATAATCAAGAGCTCCTTTAGTTGGTCATTATTTTGTTTATTATGTGATTTGGGGTTGATATTGTCAGGAGAAATTAGATGCTGGTCACTCTTGGAGGTCAAAAGGTCAAGCACTTGGCAACAATTGTGAATACAGTATTAGGTTGTAAGTTATGTTAGTTACTGCATAATTTATTTTGGTGTCTTGTTCTGTCACACTGGAAAAACAAAGCTATTGTTAAACAATCCCAACAGACAGTGAGATTTAACCTGTTGAAAAGGTTTTTAAAGTGTGTACAACTATAATCATGCCATGCCATGAAGGAAGTTAGAGCAATCACTATTCTCACTTTAATCCTCAATCGTAATGTATTAAACTCAGATGTGTAGTACCATGAACTTAAAACAAACCATACCTCTGTTCCTGGTTTGTTAATCCGGTAATCTTCAATTAGCTGAAAAAATATGGCTTTAACTATGAAATGTCCACACATATCCATGTCATAATCATTCTGGTCTTTTCCTCTTCTACCAACAAATACATCACCACTAGAAACAAAAGAGAAAAAACATTCTTCAACACACCAAGATTAAAATGAAGGCTTTTCTAACACCACAAGTTCATTTAATGGATAGTGGGATCATCTACATTTAAGCAAGTTTAGTCAAGAAAGTGACTACTGTATGTATAACTGACAGACAACTTTGTAACCCAGATCATGTTATCACCTTACATGGATGATCACTTCCACTCAGGATGTCAAAATGCCAGCCACTGTCACAAACAATACTACCTTTCAGGTACACCCTTCTTTAAAAATGACACTACACCCCTGCATATATATTAAAATTTCAGAAAGGTTAAAATCAATGTAAAAGCATTGCTGTGCAGAAGCCTTGTATACTCAAGGGTAAGATGATTGGTTATGATAATTGCTATTTACCATCACAATACTCCAGCCACATACAAATATATAGTGACAACCAACCTAACACATGAGCTAACTTTGGTCAGAAGTAAATTTGGTTGACAAAAACAAGTTAGATGCGTGAAAAACTGAATACAGGATATTTCGCACAAAAAACTTTTTGCACAAGTCTTTTAACACAAGTTTTGGACCGTTTGCACAATTATTAGTGGTCATTTTGCATAATAATTATAAGTGAGAAACATCAATATAAAAGGTATACTAATCTAGATTTCTTTATTTGTTTTGATCTTAAGCTTATGTGATTACTTATCGAATGGCTAGCGTATAATTTTTTAATTATTTTGAATTCTTGAAACTTTCGTGAAATCATTTGTTTATATCACTGTTGCTATGATGCTTATCAATCGATACTGAACTCTCCATCACTTAGGTAATTGTTATCAGAATAATTTGAAAGGTTACTACTTGATAGATGTATTAAACTTTACAATCTTTAAAAAGATTACAGATCGAACTTGTCTTTCTACAAGATCACTAGTTTCTAACTACACTGACACATTCAAGTTTGTAGTGGATGATGTACTGAAAAAACTGAAAAACTCAAAACTGAAAGGTTTTTCATTTTACAAAGGAAAAGTTATTGAAGTAGTTGTTCGAATAGGGAGTTCTTTACATTTTCATAGAGAGAGAGATTTGTACCTTTCCATTCTTCAAGTAAGAATAGTGATTGTGTTCACAAGCATTTCAATCTAGTTGAAGTTATTATGTAAATAAATGTCTATGTTGTTGCCGTTGGATCTTGTGAAGGTGAAATGTCTTATCGGTATCAATCAGTATACCTTTTATATTGATGTTTCTCACTTATAATTATTGTGCGAAATGACCACCAAGAATTGTGCAAACAGTCCAAAACTTGGTCCAGTTACCAAAAAACTTCACCATAATAAAGAGGCAATTTAAAATTTTTAAAATTGTCACAGCTTGCAACACCATATAGTTGACCTTTTTCCTCTTTGCTTTTTATTTTATGTGTATTGTACTAAATTGAAAAAGAGGTGGGTATTACCTGCAATATGGCACAAATACTTTATTCCACGATGAAAACATAGGATTTTCCTGTGGGTCATCAGAAGCAACAAAAGTCCCCGTCAAATAATCACTGTAGTTTCTTGATGAGCCCAGAGGGCCTCTGGATCTATGCAAACACGATTCATATGTCCCACAAGAGCCTCCTTCTTGCAACTGTACAACCCAGTGCTTTGAATCTGAATTACGACTCAGGTAAAAGACTGCTTCAGAACCATCTAAAATGAATAACAATCAGTTAACAAAAGGTTTTCTAAATAAATAACTTAAGTTACCAGACAATTCGCATCTTGGCATAAGCATGGTCCATTACTTTGGGTGGACACTATGTAATGAGACTTAAAGTCACTGTTAAGCCACATAAAAACCCTGCATTTAACTTTTTCATGGATACCTTCTCATGGTGAACACAGACAAAAGGGCAACTGTTTTCAAGACAGGCTTGGCTGTTATCAAGGCCAATGTAAGCATAAGTTGAAATAAGTTTTAAATCTCCTTCTACATGTAACCAAAACCACCATAATCACAACAGTCAATCTAAGATTGATATCATGAGGATCTAGTAACTGCTCAGAGTAACCAAATGTTCATGAGCTATAGAGAAAGCAAAAATAACTGAGTTGACATTTTTTTCAGTTTAATATTTCAATGGTTGAGATAATGTTGCAGTCTTCTATAACAAAAGCTGTAAAGCACAACCAGTAACAAACTGATATATTACAGAATCTCATTTGAAAATCACGTTTTGCTTTTTGTACAACTTCCTAGCCTTCCTTCCCATGTGCAACATATTACACACAATCACGCTTTTATTATGTCAATTCACAAATTGTTTCATTGAAACATTGGAGGAAATAATTGAGGCATACACTGTAAAAATGAGAAAAATCACAACACATTGCCTGTGAATAAAACTAGTGCCTTATGATAATAGCTGTGAGTCTTAAGCACAAAAAATTAAATTTTGATTAAAAGATTACCTTATCACCTAGCCAACAGATGGCAATGAGAAAAAAAAGAGAGATTAAAAAAAAAGATAATTCAAACAAAGCAATAATTTGTAGTAATAAAACTTAGCTAAAAAACCACTAAATATTCATCTGATGAATATCATTTAAAGTGATTGCCTGGTTAAGAAAATCAGAAAAATCCCTTCAAACTCTGAACAAAGTTTGGTTCAAAAAGGTTAATATAGAAAATGCATAGCATGTTGAGCGAATCAGCAATTTGTGAATTCTTGGTCAGCAGTCAGAGCGTCTGGAGTCAATATGGGAAATTGATTGGATTTCCAGATTTGAATATATGAGCCACATCTGATAACAGCTAAGGATATATACATGACTTTTCAAGCTGTTTTTTAATACGATTGATTGACCACAATAAACTTTTTATGCCATTGGCTATAGACAAAAAAACGCCGAAAAAATGTTAATTTCCACCAGTGCATTGATCTTCACGCTAATGTTTTGAATTGAATAGTATGTAGGACTTGTATGTATTTAAAAGTTTGTTTACCCGGTGATTTCGTAAAAAATCCATTATCCTAACAGCCGCAAATTGACAACACAACTTAAAAGTACTTAAAAACCATCAAAGAACGAATTCCGACAATTTGCAACTTTCGCGGCAGACGAGACAGACATAAACAGAAGCGCAAGTGAGGGAGTTCCTGAAGTCTGTCAGAAAGGTTAACTGTTGGTTATACTTTGACGGCAATTTGGGCCTTGACTGTTTCGTCCAATTCAGGAAGGCAAAAAAACATCCAGCGACAACGAGTCAAAACATCGGCAAAACATGCGGATGTTTTTTATCTTCAAAGTTTCACCGCGCATGCATACATAAGTAGGAAAATAACAAATAGATCAGCTGTAAATCCAAGCGGATGACACTTTAGACGGCAGTGAAGCGTTAAACCTACAAACTAGAAATACCAAAGATTACGCGCTTGTTCTCACACCAAGAGCGCAATACATCTGATATATTTTTCGAATTAACGCAAATGTCAAAACCGCGGATACGGCCTTGCCGAAGCACTTTTCTTTCAAGATGAAAACAGTTTACTTTACCCATTATTGCTCCGCCGCAAAATAACACAGAGTGGCCCCTAAGGGCATCCTTGGTTACAAACGCTCTTTCGGTTGTATAACAACGAGTCAAACTGCAAAGTATCGACGAAAAACGCTTAAAACCATTGGATTAAAATTATTATCAAAGAGATCGTCGCTGCACAAGTTGAAATCCGAGCCCGAGGTGAAAGATCAGTAAAAGCGCACATACTGAAATCAGCTGCGTAATTCAGTTCTAAGAAGCCTAAATCCACCACAATGAAATAACTCATTTAACGGTCTTACCTAAGCATAAAGCATTTCTGTTCTTCGCATCTCGAATAGGCGTCCGTTTCAAATTGTATGTGTGCTTTCTCCTCACCCGTCGACGACTTGACTCCCGTCGCGCTCGTGGCTGAATATTTGGTAAACTGTCTTTCAAGCTATTGAGTTTGAAGGGTCTCCCGTGCGGCTGTAGACTGCTTACAAATCCGAAATCCTGCAATCCACCGACGAAGCATGCGATCATCAACCAAAGAGTAAGCACCAGCCTTTGGCACCACATCGCTGTATTCGTGTTTTCCGAGGCGAAATCTCGGTCCTTTCGCTCTGCGCTGGGCAACCTTCCCGCAGGCTTTAAGAAGTTCTGGTCACTTGCTCGTTGCTAATCGCCGATTCGCAATGTCTCCACGGAAGGATTTCTGTGGTTTTGAAGAGGTTTAACAGCAAGGTTAAGAGATTTAGAACACCAAATCGATTTTAAGAGTGCTTTAAGTCTGCATAATATTTGAGACAATAAGCGGGTTTGCTTTCCACGGCCACATGTGTACTTCATTTAGCTCAAGACGGTGATTCGCATCGTTTTTGATTGCTTTGTACGCGCCAGATAGACAGCATATCGTGTCACGAAGTTAAAACACCTTTTGACATGTTTGCGAGTTCGATCTAAGGGTAGAGGTGAAATCTAAGCCATGCACTGTCTTCATAACTGATTACACATGTTTCTTATAACTGTAAACACAAGAACGAAGGCTCTTCAAAGCGTGACGTCAGCCGGGTTCATTTAATTGCTAATTATTATCCATTGTCGATAATGATAGATAATTGCCAATGAAAGGACACGACACATCGCCAAACAACACCTGAGAGGGTTACAATACTTGTAGCGTAAATTTGTCGGTTCATATAATGACTTGATATACTTGCCAGGAAGTAGCTCGTTAAAGAAGTTTGGAACATAGAATTCGTGCAGGATAAATTCGAGAAAGGGGAAAAAATTCAAGAAGGGCAAATCTGAGATCGAGTACAACAAAAATAAAGAAGATATTAGTGAAGATGTACGGAATTTTATTACCTCTTCGAGATATCTCATCAATTGCCACTTGATGGATAAATAGATGAAGACGAAATATTTATGTTTGTTCAGTTTTGTTTATCGTTTTGTTTCAGCTTTTCAGTTGACACGAAAGTAATTTTTCGGATTTTGTTTTGTTCTCCAAAAGGTTTCCCCTTGAGGTTTTTTTTTTGTTTTCCCTCACCTGTTGGTTGGTTTTTGAAGTGATATCCATTGTAAGAGTGTAGACAGTAGCATCACGGTTGCACACCGGCGATTTAGTGAAATGAATGTCTTTTCGAGACCTTTTGGATATCGAGAAAGAAAAATCTTTAAAAAGAATCGAATAAAAGAGAGAGAGAGAGAGAGAGAGAGTAAGAGAGACACTGAGAATTCTCCGCCAATAACTAATTTCGTCACGAAGCTTGACACTTAGAATGAGCTCATAGATAGCATATACAGGGCATGCAGTTTTCGATGGGATACTTCAATTTCTCTCTCGAAAACTATCAGAATATCATCGCACTAAGGAGGATACCATTAAAGAAGGGTGATTTAGTGGAAAGGTAAATTCAGTTTTGTAAAGAGGTCTATGTAAAGTAGAGTGACTTGCCGTAGTGGTCCCTACGTATCCGATTCGAAAATTATGTGCCAACCATCATGTGTTGGACACAGCTCATCGGCCTGGGTATTACTTCAGTTTATGAGGCTACTCTGTCATTTGTTTTGGCTTTTGACAATAATATCAGTCGGACTTTGGCACTGGGAAACACTGGTACAGTTTTAAGTATTTTAATTGATACCGATACTATTGCAGTCAAATTGCATCTAATTTTGTAAGCATCTTGACAAAGTTTCATGCATTTGCATTCCACTGAATTTGCTAAGAGTTCCCTTCAGCACACTCTGGTGTAAACCCAATGTAAGGGTGCTAAAACTGCAGCTGAATAAATATGGTTGATGGCCGTCGTCTTGAAACAGAAGAACTCTATGTTAACAAAAATTGTCATGAAGATGAATTCCTAACCATGGCCCCTACCGAGAGGCAAGGGCTTCGACCCATATAAATCTTTTGTCTCAAATACCTCTAGCTGTGCGGTAATTGCAGGCGCATGTAGGAGATCCATTTCTCACCTTCGTAGATCTCTATCTCCCACAAAGTGGTATTTTTCATCCAAAGCTAATCTCGCTGTTTCAGTGCGGATGATATACTACCATAGCTGGCCACTGAACGACCAAAAAACAGTGTTGGTGAAATTCCCATATCACTATTTTAGACTGCTCAAATTTCACCCCTCAAAACTTCGAATCGTAGTCCGTGTCTCTCGTTCGATTTTCAGAGACAGGCGGCGCCAAGGGCTCGACAAGTGCTTAAACAAATGTTTGCCATATCAGGAACTTTCTTATTGGCCACGGAGTCCGTATGTATAGAACAAACATCTTTTTAACAGAGACATCACCCCGAGTCCTTCGATTGCAAAGGAACGCTCCGGCTGAGTCCTCAATGGTGTTTACCCCATCCACCCTGTATCAGTCATAAAGCTGAAGAATTTCATGCGTTTTCTGAGATCACGCCCGCAAGGAAATAATTATATTTTTACGTGCACCTCGTCGATGAATTCCATATGTGTCTCGAGATGTTATTTTAGACCTAAAAGATTAATGAAGCTCTTAAGCGTAGTCGAGAAAAACTGATTACATCTTGAAACCATTTGTCAAACTTTGTGGCAAATTTCAAACGTCACAGGTCTTTTGTTGTGGCAATAAATAAGTCAGTTTACCGTACGTTTCCTTTTCACTTGACAAATGCAATTGAAGGCTTAATGACTTTCTGTCGTTTCAAGCTCTGTCATCCTTATTGCCTTTCTGTGTTTGATTTGTTATTCCTGTGTAAAAACCTAACATTTTCCTGTTTTGACGATCTCAATGTCAGCGAAGAACAACCTCTAAAATTTTCATTCAGAGGACTCTCGATATTTCATGATCCTGTAATATAGTTTTACTTCTAGGTCTTAATCTAATTTGCTTCTAAATCAACGAGACTTTGCATTCGTCGCCCTTCGAAAAAGTAAACAAATAAAAATGACTAGATCTTTGATAAAATGCAAAACTATGAGCAGAGGTAAATTCATCAAATGAATAATCAAGTGGATTGTAATTAGCATCTAAGACGCGCTCTATCTCGGCTTGCATGGGCGACTTGTATTCCAAATTTCAACAATCTCCTTATTTCATGATGCCCCTCCAAAGTTTCACTGATTGCGCTTTAATTAACAAAAAGATGTTAGGATATACAGAGGATGACTATAGGGTTCAAATACCACGACTGTTTAGATGTTGGCAAAAAATCTAACAGGTCATTAAGGTACACGAAGACTGCTCGAATGAAGTGATTTTCGACGACAATTAGTCTCGAGTGGGTGTCATCCAGTCGGTACAGACTTGAACATACGAAGTTCGGATAGAAGTTCTTCAGAGGTCAGTTTGTTTCATGGACATTACTTAAGCGTCAATCGAAGCGCGCGGTAAGTCCTAAATTTAGCACGGTTGTATAAATACTTACTGATCGCAATATTTAATTGTATTTTGGCGTGAAGGTCGAGCGAATTTAAATAAATTTGTTCAAGTGTCTTCTTTGCATTACAAATTCAGACCCCTCTTTGTCTTCAACGAGGTGATCGTGGCTGGCCTTTCGAGTGCCTGTAATCAGATGTGTTTCGTTTCTATCTTATTTGACTACCGCACTTGAAAGGTCTTGAAACACTTACCTTAAGTTCACGAACCAACTGCGTGACTCTACAATGCAATAAAACCACTTCAGTCGCTGTCACTGTTGAAAAGGGACTTGTTTTCAACACGTTTAGGCGTTAGAACATAACGCTATTTCACGATTAATAAACTCACCTCTCCTTCACACAAAGACAAACTGAAAACGACGTTGAATGCCACTCTGACTTTATCGGTCGCTCAAGGAAAACATTCAAATGCAAATAGAGTAAACACACTTCATATGAATCTTGGAGCCCTATTCATATTTCATTGGTTGGCGGGCTTCTATGCCCTCGGGTCAAGGCATTCTCGTAATTGCAAAAAAAATAACATTAAACTACGGCGTAAAGAGGAAACGGAAAAGTAGCAGGCCCAATAAAGAATCTAAATTTATGTTCCAAAATCAAAGGAGGTAAACAACAGTAGCGAATATCTCTATAAATATGAGTTCTTGGCTCGAGGACAAACAGATATTTTTCAAGCTCTCTGTTTGAGCCGTGTTAATAAGTCTCCAAACAATACTGAAATGGCAAAAACATATTTAGGGGTGGCGGACCGTTATCTATTTTATTGGATCTCGACGGGGAGCGCAGGAAAACTCAACTTTTTCAATAAAAAGAATTAATCAAAGGCTACAAAAACATTTGTAATCAACTTTTCACAATATCGAAGAATTGTTTCCCTTAAAACCGCAAGCCATCAAAAATCCATCGATGCTTGATACCACAAATTCTTTTCTCATTGCTGATATGTTATCTTTTGTTTAAGTCTATTGCTCAATATAAATCCACAACAATGTCACTTGATGTACATCTTACAGCACGAAATCCACATATCATTTGACCTAGTCTGCACAAGGCAAATAGCGATGTTTGTACAATAATCGCTTAGAAGAGAGGAAGTTAGCCGGAAGGAACAGTTATGTTGATATTCCAGCTACTTTAGGCAGTTCAAAAAATGATATTTCATAGTGTTCTGAGGTTGGATAAGATTAAAAGCAAAATTTCTGATAACTTGGAAGAGGTCAAACTATTTTAGCCTTAATGTAGCATGCTGTTAAAGCAGGTAAAAGAGTTAATTAATGCTTTTAAAATTGTGAAACGTAAAAGTCAACCATATTCTTTTAAGGGTTCCTCAAAGAAAAGTCCATCCGAGCTGTTCAAAGGAAAAGCATTGAGAAACTCAAAAGGTCAACGTTCTTTTCGTATCCATTGACTCTCGGTTCTTGTCGAAAATAACGAGATTAGCGCAGTTAATATGACTGGAAAAATTTCAAGATTAGACTAGGGAATCAATTTTTCAGAAATAAATTGAAATCCATTGTTGTTTGGTCTATAACTCAATCTGTTTCCGTTTGTCGTCGAATATCTCTCTCACCTGTTGAATTGAAAAGTCGTCAATAAAATGCTCCGATCCTCCTGAAACTAACAGTTTCTATGGAGGTTTGGTCAATCTTGGCTTGGAAGCCTTCATTAGAAGTGATAATAAGTAAATGAGTGAATGAACGTAACTTTCTCGTCGTACTCCCGAATTATTAGACCAAATTAAAAATCTTACGACAAAGTTCATATCTCTATCTTAGTCCTCCGGTCGACAAAATTCGTACCCTTTCATAAAACTCTAGCCTGATTAGGGGGGCCCCTTTTGGGCAGAGAATCCTCCTACAATCAATAATTTATGAGCTGGGAAGTGCCCCTTCCCTCTCCCCCGATGAACTAGTAGAGAAACTGTCGATAGGAACTTGAATATAAAATTACAGATCACTTTGTCGTCGTTCAATTCCTGAGTCGCTTCGGGTACGCTCTATCATACATGTAAAGCGTTCTTTGGTAGGTCAACTCTCCCCGCGTAAATCAGGTAAGAAAACGAAATCAGTAAACAATTAGGCTAACATCAAAAAACCAAATCCATTTTGTTAATCAAGTT